TTGGGGGCCCCTTGGGCCGTCTGGGGCCGTCGGAAGGCCGAAAAGAAGCAAATGCCAAAATCCTTCAAAAACCCGAGGATGAACAACAATTTTGGCCTCTGTCTTGGACCGTATTGGAGGCCTCTTGGAGGCCTCTGGGGCCGTCTTGGGCCGTCTTGGAGGCTTCTTGGGCGAACTTGGATGCATCTTGGACTCTCTGGGGGTGTCTTGGAGGCCAACTTGGAGCATACTGGCCGAACCTGAGGGCCATCTTGGCTGTCTGTTGGGCCATCTTGGAGCCATCTGAAGCAGGAAAAACCTTTGCAACCGGGTCGAACCCAGCCTTCCAGGTGGCCGGCGGCATCGGCCGAAGCCCCAGGGGGAGTTCTTTGGGAAAAGAGACAACCACTTGCCTTCGGCCCGTCCCGCTACCATGCCTGGGTCGTGCGCAAGAGCCTCTCAGATGCCTCTTGGGAGTCCTCTTGGAGGCATCTTGGTGGCTTTAGGGGGCCTCGTGGGTGTGTCTTGGTGGCCTCCTGGATGAGTTCTGGGGCCCTCCTCGGACAGGGGAGAGTAGTGTTTTCGATATTGTTGCGCGTTGTGGACGGTCTGAGGGAGTGCAGGAATGATGGTAAAGACGGTGCTGAAGGAGGCAATATCGGCGATGACGATGGTGGTGGTGATGGTGATGGGTTGTGTAAGCGTGTTGACGACGTTTGCGAGCGCCCTCGATGGCGGGGTGCTGTAGCTGCGTGGGCCTGGCGGGCGGCGTCGCATACGCCTAGGCAATGGGGTGGGCGGAGGGAGGTGCTTCTCCGGAAAGATCACAATGAATCCTGGAGCATGATACAAATTGAGCCGTCGATTGGGATTTTCTCAAGAAAGAGCAGTTTCTGTCGCGTTTGCCGTTCGTTTTGTTCTTCAAGGGCCCATTGGATTGTTCCGCAAGTTTCCTCGAGGTTCCCGCAGGTTCCCCCTGTTTCCGCACCTTCCGAGCCAGGATGGCGGCGGCTACCCGCCCTCCAAAGCGATCGATTTCCCAGCAGCGGAGGGCCGACACAAACCGAAAGCAGAAGTCTTCCCTTGAATGATGGGGACGTCTTGGCGTTTTGCTGGCTGTCTCGGTGGCCCTCTCGGGGTCAGGGGCGCAGTTCGAGCTCATCCGATTGAGCCCTTGTTGAGGGCCTCTCAGGTGCCTCATGGGCCCTCCCTCTTGGGGCTCCCTTGGTGGCCTCTTGAGCTGTCGCCGACGCTCGTGAGATCGAAAAGGCGAGCATGCGAGTATCATATAAAGCATGTGCTTGTTGAATGGCTTGGGCCTCCTGGGCCAGTCCCAGGGCCTCAAAGAAATCCCTGCACATCCACTTCGGCACCGCCTGTTCCCCGGGCCCCGCCCGCTCCGGCCGCCTGAGGCCCCGCCTTCCTGTGCCCTGTCTCCCTAATTAAAGCTGTGCGTAGCCCGCCTAGCTTTTAGCGGAAGAGGTTCGCTCTCGCCCCGCAGATAGAAAAAGTGTTTGTTGGATGGCTTGGGCCTCCTGGGCCAGTCCCAGGGCCTCAAGGAAATCCTCGGACCCAAAAGGCCCCCAAACGAGCTCCAGGAGGTGCCTCGGGGTGGTCCTGGGACACGTAGGAAGGATGGGCCCCCAGCCACGCTCCCAAGGCCTGTCGTGTGGTGATCTTCAGAGGCTCCCAGAGCGCGGGGCTCTGGGCCCCCCCCAGGAGTTTCGACGAAATGAAGAACAGGAAAGTCGAACATACACGAGGGCACTCCAATGTGTGCCTCGCACCGCGGTGGCAGATTGAACTGGTTGTCAAGTTGTCAAAGACATTCTGAAGAGTAATAGCGAACGAATTGAGACACGCTTGGATTGACGCTGTCGGGGGCAATGCAAAAGTCAGGATAAGGAGGATTGAGTGACAGATCGTTGTTGCTTGAGAGCTTCACGCTCCGCTTTCGATGTATGGAAATTAACGTTGGCTTTAGAGCCTCTGTCCATCTCGGATATCGAGGGCGTGCTGCGTTATTAAATGTGTTACGCACTCTTACTTGTTGCCAGCGCCGCGTGCTGTATTATTGCAGCACTCACTGGCTTCTTCCATTCGAACATAACCGTGCTTCGTGTGAGCTGCCCCTGTTCATCGAGGGGCGCGACCTTACGCAACCTTTTTACCGCTGCCGCCACATCTAACGGCAGCTGTTCCGTCGACGTCGATCGCCGGCTGCTCGTAAATTGAAGAGAATGAGGAGGGAGAAGCAGGAGAAGGGTGATGGGGCGGGAGCGTGGGGGAAGGAGGTGGAGGTGGAACAGAGAGGAGGAGGGGGTGAGCACGGCTAGCTTTGAATGTCCCCTTGTCGTTCGCAATTCCGCAGTCCACGCTCGGTGTTTGGCCTCATCGGCGTCCCTTGCGTGTGGGAGTTCAGGCAAGAATTCCCAACAGAGGAGGAGGAGGAGGAGGAGGAGGAGGAGGAGGCATGATCTTCTTCCAGGGAACGAGTCCAGAAGTCCATGCCGCGCCCAGGTTCTCTGACCCCCTCTCCTCCCATCCCTACATCCCGCGCATTTCCCCTCCTCTCCCTTTGCTGGACGCTGGACCAGCTACCTCCTTGTTGGGATGGGGCTGAGCTTCCGAAGCGGGCCGTTTCTGTGGCTCAGACCATTATCTTCCTCCCTTTTCTGACCTTGCCTCTCACTCCACTCCACCTCTGCACTCTTCCGTGCGAGAAGGACGGCAAGGCTGCGAGATCACGCTTGCAGGCTGGCGCGCGCCATGGGAAGACGGAGAATTGGGCAAGGGTTCATGTCCAGAGAAGGGAAGTACAGACAGGGGGATGGCGATTGCGGGTGAGGCGGAGGAGAGGAGGAGGAGGATAATGAGGAGCAGGAGGAAGACGATAAGGGAGCAGGAGAGGGGGAGGCGGGTGGGGAAAGGGAGGAGTGGGGATGATGGAGGAGGGGAGGGAGGGTGAGGGTGAGCGGGGGGATACGGAAGAAGGAGAGTGAAGGAGAGGGGAGGAAAGGGATGGAGGAGGAAGGAGAGGGGAGGGGATGAGAGGAGAGGAGGGGGAGGAACAATAGCGACACACGCGTCGATTCCTTTCGATCCCGGGGCACGCAGGAGCCTGGAGGCTCGAAGGAAGGCAAGGGACATGGGCGAAGGGCAGTGGACGCCGGACCGAATGTGTTGGAGGCACGATCTAGACAGTTTGGGGCGAGGCCTTTTGGGATGAAGAAAAATCGCGTGGGTGACAATTGGCGCCATAGTGGAAAAATGAAGAGGTGTGGGGTCTTCTTTAGGGACGTCTTCGTTGGCCGAGGGTCCCAAGAGGAGTCCTCGGCCCCCTCCGGTTGCTGTTGACGCCGTCATGCCTGTGTACGCTGGCGGCCGGCCGGAGGAGGCGGGTTTTCTTGGTAGGGGCACGTTTCGGGCCTAGCGGAATCGGAGAAACCAGAGGGAGTGATTTTTAGTGAGGGCCGAATCAAGAAAGAGGGGGAAGCAGTACCCCCCCTGGCTTGTTTGGATGTTCTTGTCCTTGATGAGCACGGGTTAGGTGGTGGGGAGCGGGGCCGACCCACAAAGGTGACGCCGCAGTGGCCAGGGTCGACCCGTCACCCGAATGGGCGGGGTGCGAAAGAGCATCGGCACCCCTTGGCGGCTGGTGTAAAGGTGGGGGGCGGCCAACATGCCAGATTACATAGGAGAACTGACATTGACGGGCACAGTCAGTCGGCAGGTTAATAAATCCCGTTGACGCAATTAAGGTGGAAAATCGCGGTGATGGCGATTGACGCCATCATGGTAGGTGGGAGTGGGAACCCACGCAGCCCTTATGATGGAAGCTGCGCGGGGTGTGAGGCCTGTTGACGGTCCTCACGGGCGAGGCCTAAAGATTGTCCTCGCCAGAGGGGGGGAGGAGAGGAGAGGTGTTGGCGCCCCTGGTGAAGTCGTTGGCGTCTGAGGTCGTCTCGAAGATCTCGAGTCCTTGCTGACAAGAGGGAGCCTAAGAAAACGGGGAGCCTGAATTGGGAGAGGGGCCTAGGAGGCGGTGGCGTTTACCTGGCCGCGCGCGCCCAGTCAAGGGGCGAAGTTCTGCCCCAGGAGGGAGAGCCAGGAGGAGGGGGCAGGGTGGGCCCGGAGAACGGGGAGGGGGGAGGAGGCGGGGGAGGGAGGGGGAGTAGGCGAAGACAGTCGGTCCCCCAGCGTTGCTTTTCAGCTTTCGCTTCGTTCCGACTCCCCCTCAGCGCACGCCTGGCGTACGGTAGTGTCTGTCGGCGCTCTGGACGGGAACATGTTCCGCGTTTCGGCCGACCTCCCTCTCCACCGAAAGTGACCGACCGAGGTGTCGGCGCCCTTGGTGGCGTCGTTGGCGTCGGAGGTCCTCCCGAAGATAGGGGGCGGGAGGGAGAGCGGGAGGGCGGGAGAGGAAGGACAAGGGGAGGGGAGGAGAGATTGGGGGAAGGCAAGCTAGGTGCGCGCGCGCATCTGACATTATACCCTTCCTGGCGGGCCTGGATATTTCAGATGACCCCACCGTGTGATTCGCAGAAAGGGGAGCTGTGTACATTGGAGGAGGAGGAGGAGGAGGAGGAGGAGGAGGTGGTGGCGGAAGAACGGGAGAAAGAGCAGGAAGAAGAGGAGGACGAGGAAGTAGGAGGAAGATAAGGGGGAGCAGCAGCCCGAGCACTAGGAAGGGCGGGAGGAGCAAGATGACCAGGGGAAATGGGAGGAGGGGAAAGGAGGGGGCGACAACAACGAGGAAGGAATCGCGTCAAGACGTGTGGCCCGCGCTGGGGAGAGAGCGCCATTCTGAACGACGGGAAGGCATCGCCGATCCAGGAGTTGGGCCAACGTTGCAACGGGAATACCGTTTTAACAAAGAAGAGCCCCCCGATTGAAGAAGCGCATTCAGAACATCAGCTGTTGAAATCCTGTGCGTCGACAGCCGTCTGCGGGAAAGGCGGCGCCACGCTCGGACGGCATCCAGGGAGAGGAAGGTAATATTCATGGTGAGTCACTGGGAGGCCCAAGGCTCTTGGCTCAAAGCTCGTGGCTGAAGGGCCGCTTACGGCTCCTACCTATTTGACCCAAACATGCCCTTCACCGTATGCTTTACCTCCGGAATCGCCCGGGATTGCCTTGACTCCGGGTTCAGTCCGGTATGGTGCTGATTCGGGAGCGCGTGTGCGGGATGATGGATTCTGGGACGAAGAAGTATGGTTCACCGAGAAAGTAGGCCAGAGACGTACGGCCCCGTGCGAACGAGCATTAACCTCAGCAGATCGACCTCGACATGGCGCCTGCTCAGGGAGCCTCGCCGAGGAGCGCCTCAGGTATTTCATCTTCGGTCATGCCTTCTTCGGGGTTATCTGTGGCTGGGGACGTGAACGTTTCCCCCACGCTGGGACAGATCCAGACGATGATGGAGCAGATGATGACGCGCATGACGACGATGACGAACTCGATGAAGACATATCTCACCAAACGGTTCGACGAGCAGATCGGAGACATCAGGGACCAGATCGCGAACAACAAGGACGAAATCCACAGGGGGGGCTCCCTTGCCAGCGGGGCTCAGGAAGGTGCGGTCGCAGTAAAATCCGAGATTGCTAAATCCTGGGAGGATAGATAAGGTCAGCAGGGACGAGGCAGCTAAGATGATATCGCAGGCAGCGTCCTCTAAAGGTCTGGGTCGACCAGGACAGCAACACGGTGCGCCAGGAGAAAGTTGAGCAGATGGAGCGGACCGCTATCTTCAAGGGATTCCCAAAAAGGTGCCAATGGGAACAACATTGTGGGATTCATCCTTGCGAACATGGGGTCGCACAGGATCGAAGTAGACGGTAAATCATACAGTACGAGGATATGGGGGGAGAGAGGTTCAAGTCGATCCAATACCAAGGAGGCGATGGAGAGTTTCGTCAAGGCGGCCAGGAGCACCGACAGGATTCTTTAGGAACGCGCCGATCAGCATAGACCCCGATCGTGGAACTGTCTTCGGCGCTAGGGTCCGCTGTTTGGCAATATTCAAGATTGTCTTGGTTAAGAAAAGCCTGGACGAAGCCTCCGTCGCATGGGAGTGCTGGTGGTGAATGACACGCGGATTGGCGAATTGAAGGGGGAGGGCGTATTTGCCCAGATCGAGATCAACCGCCAGAACGTGGACAGCATGGGTTTGAAATTCAACGGCAAGGTCATGCAGTTGGATGTCGCCCGGGCGTTGCGCGAGTGACCCTCGTCTCGGTCCTGTGCTCTCTGTGCTCTCTCTCTCTCTCTCTCTGTCCTGTCGCTGCTCCCTCCCCGCCCCTTCGCCCCTCTCGCCTCTCTCCTTCGGCACTTCCTTTCGCTGGTGGTTTCTCTGGGTGCCCATGGAACGCCCGGGCATTTTTCTATAGCAAGCCAAGCCGGCAGCGTCGCAGGCACAAGTTTGTAGAGCTTAAGAGTTGAGCTCGTGGGGTTGCAAGAGGTGCATGGCACCACTGACCGCGAGCACTCGGGCTTTCTGGTCCCACGTCAACCAGGCTCTGGCGGGGGGGTCCCATTTCCATCACTGGCAACCCCATATCCCGATTTGATTCGCACACGGTCCATGTAGTAGAAGACGGCCGGGCCGCAGTTCTATGTCTTCGCGGGCGTTTTGGTGGCCTGGACGTTTGGGCCGTCCATCTCGACGCCCACTTTCGACTTGCACGCGCCAGTTATTTATTCTATATATATATATATATATATATATATATATATTATATATATATATATATAGATATTGGAGGTGAGGGGGTGAGATCGAAGTGGAACGGAGAGCCCCCCCACCGGGAAATCGATTTCGGTTTCGTGTTCGTGCGTGCCACGCGGGCGAGGCGAAGCTGCGTGGGCGGGCGAGAGAAAGTCTCCTGTGGCTGAGGCGCGGCCGGACCAAATGTCTCCCTTCCGGGCGGCCGGGGGGGGCCCGCGGTGTCCCGCTGGTGTCCCTCTGGTGTCCCGTGTGGCTGAGGCGCGGCCGGACCAAATGACTCCCTTCCAGGCGGCCGGGGGCCCGCGGTGTCCCGCCGGTGTCCCGTCGGTGCCCCGTCGGTGTCCCGATAATGATGATGTTGATGATGATCATGATGGTTGTGTTGATGGTCATGATGATGACGATGATGGTGTCCTGGTGATGATGATGATGATGATGATGCTGCTGATGATGAGGTGACGATGATGCTGATGTTCTGCCCGTTGTTTTTGATGATGATGTTGGTAATGCGGATATTGTTGATGATGATTATGGTATCCCGATGGTGATGAGTATGACGGTGGTGATGATGATGGTGATGGTGATGGTGTACCGATGATGATATTGATGCTGATGTTGGTGATGATGATGTTGCTGATGATGATGGTGTCCCGATGTTGTTGATGATGATGTTGATGATGATGATACTGAGCTGATGATGATGATGATGGTGTCCCGATGTTGTTGATGATGTTGACGATGACAACGATGGTGACCATGATGGTGTCCCGATGATGATGATGATGATGATGATGATGATGATGATGGTGATGATGACGATGGCTGTGTCCCGCTGGTGATGTTGATGATGTTGTTGATGATAATGAAATGACGATGATGTTGATGTTTTTGCCCGTTGTTGTTGATGATGATGTTGGTAATGATGATGCTGCTGATGATGATTATGGTGTCCCGATGATGATGATTATGACGGTGGTGATGGTGGTGGTGATGGTGTACCGATGATGATATTGATGATGATGTTGGTGACGATGATGTTGCTGATGATGATGGTGTCCCGATGGTGTTGATGATGCTGCTGATTATGATGATGATTAAATGATGATGATGGTGCCCCGATGTTGTTGATGGTGTTGACGATGACTATGATGGTGACCATGATGGTGTCCCGATGATGATGATGCTGGTGGTGATGATGACGGAGGCTGTGTGCCGATGATGATGATGGTGATGATGATGTTGCTGACTATGGCGGGATGGTGATGGTGATGATGATGATGATGGCCTGGTGATGCTGGCGTTGATGATGATGACGATGATGGTGATGATGACGACAGTGTCCCGATGACGATGAAAATGATGGTGTTGGTGCTGATGATGATGATGACGTTGAATGTTAGATCGATTGTGATATCGGTCGTGAGATCAATAGTGAGACCGAATGTGAGATCGATTGTGATATCGATAATCAGATCAATTGTGAGACCGAGCGAATGAGATATATCGAGTGAGATCGATTGTGAGATTGATCGAGTGAGATCGATCGAGCGAGACCGATAGTGAGATGGATAGTGAGACCGATCGAGTGAGACGCTGCATCCTCCCCCCCCACGAACCTCCCTATCACCCGAAGGGTGGTCGTATAGGTATATATATGGAGAGAGGTCTATATACATATATAGAGAAAGAGTATGATGCGTTTCCCTCCCCATGTCGTTTGTCCGCAAACGAACCGCTGCTTTTTGCTAGGCGTAGTGGGGTTCGGGTTTTTGAGAGGGGCACTGCAAGACCAATCATGGCCATTCTCGTTGACCACCTTGATGTTCGTAGGATCGCGTTGCAGGAATATGACTGGGAGGCCAATCTCAATCCCCATGCGCCTGCGCTTGGTAGAATTTGCCATGCTCCGTGTATGCAAAATCATAAAGCGATCTAGCGTGACCGTTTTGATTTCTAGTGCTGAAGGTAAGGTTCACGTTTTGATTAGCCTCTTCTGGCGCTTTGAAAACAGGGGAGCGGACCGCGCGCATCAGTTTGTGTCTTTCTACCCGCACTTGCATTCCCTCGTTGGCCCCCTGCCTCTGCCCACACCAATGCGCGGAGCTTGCGAAGCAGGGGGTTGTAGAAAAAAATTGACGCTCTCAAGGGCCACTGTCCGATTTTGTGTTGCATCTCGTGAAGAGCACATTCCGCGAAAATTGCAAAGGCTCATCCCTGGTGGGTGCCTAGCTCTTTCTATTGTTGCGTCACCTGGGAATAGGAGTTTACTACGCAATCCGGTGACATAGCGTCTTTGTTGAAGCAGCACTGGGGTGGAGTGTTTTGCCGGCGCCCCGTTGATTCAGCCAGAATGCAGACATGGGACGCCCATAGTTTGGGCTTGTTTTTCCCAGGCAGGGCTGCCAGCTCAGCACCCTAAGTGGCACTTGCCTGTTTCCCATGCCGTTGCTGCAATACGGACTTCTGACGATTCCTCTCTTGGGCCATTGTTCCGAGTCTATATCACGCAGATCTCTCGATGCAGGAGAACTCCACGATCGAGGAGTTGCTGCCCTACTTGAAGCATAGCTATTTATGTTGCATTCCGAAGAAGCCTGCAGGGGCCCATCCTGCCTTCGCGAGTTTGATACACCTGCCAGGACTCGACCACTGTCTCTCATAAATACTAACAACGGAATCCTGGCAAGTTCGTACCAGAATTATTGGAACCTCTCGCAAACGCCGTCGAGTCTCTCATGCAGTGGAAATGTTGGAGAGGCCGCTCTCTTTTCAGAAGTAATTATGCTGGCACGTATGCTGGCCAGCCCCGAGGAAACGAATGCGGCCCTCATATGTTGTTGATTTCGAGGCTGCTTCCCCCAGTATCTCTGGGGATTGTATTATGGCCGCCCTGGAGGCTATAGGCGCCCTCCCTTGCATATGCGATGTCATCTGATGTTTGTTACTTGAACATCGGGTGCGAGATCAAATTGAAAGGCCCGGTATTTGCAGGCTTCTCCATGACCGGCGGCGCGCGCCAGGGTTGCTCGCTTTCGTCTTTGAGTTTCGTGCTGGCCACAGACATGTTGCTGCACCGGATTTACCAGCAGCCTCCTCCGAGTAGTGTGCGCGCGTATGCAGACGGCGACGTGGTACGAAGTTTCTGACGCGAAGCGTCCACTGTCTTGCGCGTGTATCAGGAATTCGAGATGTTTCCCCGCCTGCGTCTTAACGTGGCGAAGACCGTAGTTGTTCCGCCCTGGGAAACATCAGAGCATCAATTTCGGCGTGCGGCTCGGGATCTGCTACCCCTGTGGGCGGGGGCGGAGTCAACGTTTCAGCTGCGCGGCCGAATTGGCCCATGCTGCATCCAAGCATTCAACCCGCTTTCGCCTGCGGTCCAGGCTCGGGCTCGGGCTGCAGCTGCACGCTCGGATTTATAACACTTGTATTGCCCTGGTTGTGTCACATCTACGGCAAGTTCGTGATTTGCCTCCAGAGGTTGCAGATGCAGAGGCCGCTGTCCACACCCAGCTCTCTTTTGGACCGGGCAGGCGGCGTACAGCTGCCGATGTGTTTAGTTTGCGGTCGCTGGTTTCGTTCCCTGTCGGACTCCATATCCTCTCGGACTGCGCATGGGCCGCCAAGATCCGACTAGCAAATAGTGTCGTGGAAGATCACAGCAAGATGTCCGAGCGTTTAGTCTGGGCGCGCTTGGGCACGCAGTTCTCTTCGCGCGCCGCTGCATGGTCAAAGCGGCATGCTTCACATCTTCCCTCTGCGTTGGGATCGGCCTCCCGCTGCGCGAGTTCGACGGGTCTTTGGGCATCCGACAATCAGCGCATTGTCTATGATTCAACTCGGGCTCTGCAGGCTGACCCTAACTGTATCGAAGCCCGTTTCCACCACAAGCTAGCCACATGGTCGTTCTCAGCTCCAATCGGCCGCTTCGCTCGCCGAGAACCGAGTATTCTCGAGAGGCTGAGTCGGCTGGCGCCGCCACGCGTGGTGGCCGCGGCCTGGAGGACGTAGTGAAGTTTATGGCGCGCAGCACGCCGATTCCAAAATGTGGGACAATGCGCCTTGGGGTGCTCTTGCTCAGCGTGAGACAGCATCGAGCATTACACGTTGTGCTTTTAGGACGCGAGGCTCATGTGTAGATTCCTCGGGCTCTGGGATGCGAGCTTGAAGAACCCTATGTGCTTCGGCAGCGCCGAGGATAAAGAGTTCGGCCTGGCAGCGCTCGCCATGCCGTGTTCCGGACGATCAGCCACTTTTGTGGTCAAACGGCGCCTGATGCCCAGCAGTGTTCCGATGCGCTGGAACATTGGTGCAAAAATTGGGGCGCAAGGCTACGTTGGCTTGGCCCGGGCTTTTGACAGGAGGTGGCAGCGCCATGGTTTAACTCGTTGACGCGCGGTGACTAGTGTCACTCCTCCTGGGATTTTCCTTCACTCGTTGTTCTTCCTCCTCTTCCTCCCCCTTCTCCTCCTCCTGGTATTCCTCCTCCTCCTCTTCTGTCGCCTCCCTCTCGACGTCTTGTTGCGAGTTTAATTTCTTTGGGGCCTCGCCAGCGTTCGGAGTCAAAACTGTGCACAGGTGTCATATTGAGTTATTGGGGAGGGATGGAGGAGACAGGAGGGAGGATGAAGGAGGGAGATCAGAGGGATCAAGAAGGATTGGATTTTTCGGGGCCCGACCCCTGGGGGGCCCGGGGCCGCCGGACATCATGACCAGGGGCATCCAGAATCGGCCAAGTGGCGCCTCCAAAGCACCTCCACGAGGGTCTCAAGACGGCCCAAGAAGGCCCCGAGAGTGCGCCAAGACGGTCCAAGATGGCCCCGAGACGGCCCAAGAGTGCCCCAGGTCGGTCCAACAAGACCCCAAGACGGCCCGAGAGGCTTCCAAGGCGGCCCAAGACGGCCCGAGAAGGGCATCAACAGGCAACCGCTACGGTTTGTAAAAAATGGTCGTGACGGTTCTTGG